CAGGTGATCGTGTCAAGAACAACTCCCGTGTGTCTTCCAGATGCCGTCTCTTGGTAAGTCTTTAATGATCATCAATCTTTAAGGTGTATGTATCTGTGATTATTTCCCTTCGTGCTAAAGGTTCTGGCTAGTTTCTTCTCAATACCGTGTTTTGGTCACTCAATCAGGTAGAGAGTTGTGATGCCAGTTTCTTGCCTTGCTATTACTGGTGGTCTGAGCTGTGATTTGTGTGGTACTTGTAACATTACTGCAAGACTTTGGATTCGTAAGATATTTAGCTCTAACTATAGCTAGGTGTAGTCTATCATGGTTTGGGCAAGCTTCCTTGGGGTCTACATTGTGTAGACAGAGCCATTCTCAACTATAGGCACAACGATTTTGCTGTACGGTAACGTTTAACAAAATTGGTGTTGCATTGTCACATCTGTAACATGCTGTTTGAATGAAGTAAATCTATGGTTAACTCTTCTCCCTGCTGTCTAACCCTGTAACAATTAGAGACTTGGTAGCTGAATGGTTACTTTTTGTGCAATAAAGACTAGATTGTTGGCCACATTGCCATGATGTAACCAGTAACTTTGTCTCTATGCAACAGGCTCAACAGTGCCAAACAGCCATAAATCGTCAAAGCCGTCTTGACAGGAAAGTCTACATAAACATCGTGGGTAAGTTGTTTTTTTTTCAAACAGTGGCACACATTGACTTTTCTAAAGGCTTTTTAGTGTGTAACTGTTTAAAAATTGTTTTAAAAGTGTATGAGTGAACTCTGCAAGTGTTTATGTATTGAAAAGTCACATGAAAGGAATTATTTTTAGTCCCTTTTTTGGTTGGTTGGCTGTTTGTTTGTTCGGCTGGTATTTTTGATACATGTGTTGGTCTTAGAATATGAAGTAAGAGACAACATATATAATGCTTTTCAGTTTTGTATGTAATAGTATCATGATCAAAGGTATTTATTTTGCACCAGGACCGGAACTGCATAATGATGTTTAAAAAGCCAGCAGGTGTGCTGATGTTCCTCCTGGTCATCCTTAAGGTGTTGGGAACTGCAGAAACTGTCTGCAGCTGCACAGCTTCAGTCTGTCACTGCCACATCCGGGGCCTCACCAGTGTTCCTCAGGACCTGCCGACAACCATCACTTTCTTGGATCTAGTAATCAACCGAATTACAACCTTAAGTCAGTCTGACTTCTCAGAGTATACAAGCTTAGAGATGTTAGATCTTGCTCACAATGATATCTCTACCATCAACAGCCAGGCATTCTCTCACTTGTCAAGCCTGACTATAATGTGGCTTTACGGTAACCAAATAACGGTCCTCCGAGCTGACATGTTTATGGGGCTAGAAAACTTGAGGGAGTTCTATATATCCAGTAATCCCATTAATGATATTCAGGCTGGAACCTTTGAGTCGACGCCAAAGTTAAGATCCTTGAACCTCAGTAATAACAAGTTAACAGTCCTCAGAGCTGACATGTTCACAGGGTTAGGCAACCTGGAGATACTTCAGTTTCAAGGCAACGACATTACTGATATCCAGGCTGGAACGTTCAATCCGACATCACAACTGACATTTTTACGACTAAGTTACAACAAGTTAACAACCCTCAGATCTGATATGTTCACAGGGTTGGGAAAGTTGGAGTACCTGTACCTGGACTATAATCATATCAGTGATATTCAGGCTGGATGTTTCAGTCCAACACCAAATGTAGGGGACCTCAGACTGTCTGACAACACAGTCGTAACATTTCCCTTCGAAGACTTGTCAAACATTCAAACAATTTCTCGTCTTACCCTTCACAATAACCAAATGACAACTCTTCCCTCTGTGGCCTATGATGTACTTTCATCCATCTCTACTGTTAACATTGACAACAACCCCTGGCAGTGTGACTGTAGGATGGTTGAATTTAAGTTGAAGATGATAGAACCAAGTTCTTTTGACAAACAGATCACTTGTTCCCATCCTGGCAACTTCAGTGGGCAAAACCTGGTAGGCATCAACCCTGAGGATTTGATGATAGATTGTCAAAAACCAAACATTACGAGGTTTGAAAGGGTTGAAAATTATCTTCTGTTACATGGACAGACTGTCCGTTTATTTTGTGAAGCTACTGGAATCCCCACGCCAGAGATCACATTCATTCTCCCATCTGGACTCGAATTTAATGCAACAGTATTGTCAGCTGGAAGGGTGACTGTGTGGGAGAATGGTACAATAATTGTAACAGGTGTTACTGCAGCAGATTCTGGTCGGTATGCCTGCATCGCAACAAATTCTGCAGGGTCCACATTGGCCTACTTCTCTACAGATGTGGTTTACTTTGAAACGTCTCCCACTTTCTCCCTCCCCATTCTCATTCTCTACCTGATCGCAGCAGTAGCCGGGACCCTTGTGATTGTTGCCATTGTTCTGACCATCTGGTGCAAGTGTTGTCGCAAGGACCGTTCTGTAGGCCCAGACGCTGGTACTCCGGCTATGATGGGCCGTAGACATGGTGCAAGGGTGCCATGGGACCATCCCCTGGGCATGTGAGCATTCTAAAGGGTACTTCTTTTGTACATGTAGCTTTGTTTAATCTTAAGCACATTAAGGTAGCTATTGATTATATAGTAATGAGAGATTCCCTATAGTCTTATATAATAGATAAGTTCCCCAGCTTTGGACATTTAAATGAATCAGAAAAATTCATATTTCTTATCATCATATATTTCTTATGAAACTTGACAAACCAATATATATATATCATTAGTTCTATATGCTTGTACATCTCTAACTGCGTCAAGAAGCGAGAAGAAGTTGAACCTGTAAATGGTAGATAACAGTATGTATAGTTTAAGTGTCATTGCTGTATCCTTTTCCCTGTTTACCAATGACCTGTACTTAGCTTGTTAGAGCACAAACGTATAATAAAGATCTTTAATTCATTATCCACTACCTTCAAACATGAAGTCAAACCTCATAAAAGCAAGGGTAAAAGTATAATTTTTTTCCAGACAGTAGTTGTCTGTTTCCTATTACTACAATTATATTGTTTACCCTTTGACAAAAAAAGCAATAAGCCTTTAGTCATGATTTTGCAAAAAAGAACTTCAATATTATAGAGGGCTCTCAAAATGACTAGACTAGATTGAACAACAGACTAAAAAGACTAGGCTGCTTTTGAATCCAACTTCAGTTCAAATAACCCTCAAAGACATTCTGCTAACCTTAATAGTTTCTACAGCTGACCTTAGATACAAAACAAGCATCTCTTAGATTCATTAACCAGTTAGAAGATTGCGTAGACATCAAAATCCATCTGCATATATAAATATAACAGTTATGGCTGTGATTTTTAGTTGAATGTTGTTTATAAGAATTGCATGTATAAGATTGTGTGATTATTTGTACATACATGTATAACTCTTGCTAGTAATTTTGTTTTCCATTGACATTTATTCGCCAGGTTACATGTACTTGTCCCTCAGAAAAACATACCAACATTACAGACATACAATATGGAATTATAATGGCATTAGTATTGGTACTTTGCATTATATATAAGAAATTATACCTGATATTATGGTAGCCTGGCCTGGCCGGTACCTGGTTTTCCGTAAACCCTGTTACTTTTTATAAATCCTCAGAAAATGTATGTGACTTGATGAAATAAAGATCTTGTTGATATACAGGCTTCAATGTACTATATACTGTATATATGTACTAAAATACATCAATCCCTCGCTTTTCCATGGGTGTTCTGTTGTGTCAAACAAAACGTCTAGTACAGTAAGTATTGAGGCCACAACTGCAATACTTAATACATGGAACTGATGGTGAGTTCAGCACCAAGGAGAGGTCCACACTGGTAATGTACATTAACAAATGGGGGGGGGCAGGCACAAGTCTGGGGATATAAACACTTGCTGTGGCAGAAGGTATCCTGATCTTTGGGTTTGGCACAGAAAACAAGTCCAAAATTGGTTGACGAGAATAATTACTTTTGATTGGTGGGGGAATGGTGATGGTTAATTATCAAAAGCAATAATGATTAATCTCGTTGGCACCCCTATACAATTATCACACATGGTACGGTCCGTTCGACCAGCTGCAAGCTACTAGTGTGACCACGCTTTCGTGCGGCGTGGTGTGCGTGAATTCTCTCCAACTTTGGGGTAAATTTTCGGGTTTTTGTCCGCAAATTATCCGTCTTAAGTGTACAGTATATCGTCTGGGCGTTTCCAGGTCGGATGTGTACCGTTTTTTGGATGTTTGAGGGAGGAAATTCGTCAAAGTTTCCTTGCGCTGGCGGGCGAGGTTTGGAGACTGGAATTGAGTGGAAACGAAAATGGCGACTACCATGGCGGCGTGGCGTGGTGCTGAAAAAGACTCGTTCTTGCGCGAGGTAAGACAACAAATTAGCTCAATGAATGTACATGTTTGTACTTCCAACAAACCTGTAGCAACAGACCACGTTATAATTCGTTATTTTAAACGTTATATTCCGTAGAAATTTGCGTTTTGTGGAATGATATGTCGCACACATATTGTGGGCCATTTTGTACTTGAATATTTTAATAAGGAGGTTGTTTTCATGACCATCGTGGTTTTGGGGAACTTTTGAAAAAACCTAAGAGCAAATTACGCTGCTAAAACTGTTACAAACACGTTTTTTGTTGAAAATTTCCACAGTTTGGCCCAGTGAACACCTTTTGGAACGTACCGCACGTGTGCATAATTAAACCCTCTCAACGTTCCCGCCAAAAAAAGTCGCGAATGCAAGACTTCCCAAAGCACCATTAGCTAGGTGCATATGTTATTTACTTCTGAGCACCCAAAATTAAATCTGTGCACAAGTGAAAGTACATATAGTCTAATTTTCGGTTTTGTTCCTGGTTTTTCCTTGCTTTTGAATCAGAGCTTGTCACATTGGTATTTTACTGTATTTTATATTTCATTGCCAAATTATATCTGTTAATGTATGAAGTCACTGGTTGCACTGATTTGATTTTCTGTATCTGTATAGCCCGTATAACCGCCCTTCGGCATAACACACCAGCTTCTGTATCTGTATAGCCTGTATAACCGCCCTTCCGCGTAACACACCAGCTTCTGTATCTGTATAGCCGGTATAACTGCCCTTCGGCGTAACACACCAGCTTCTGTATCTGTATAGCCGGTATAACCGTCTTCGGCGTAACACACCAGCTTCTGTATCTGTATAGCCGGTATAACCGCCCTTCGGCGTAACACAACAGCTTCTGTATCTGTATAGCTGGTATAACCATCTTCCACGTAACACACCAGCTTTGCAGGCACGCGGCGCGGCGGCAGCTGGCTACATTACACTGATCGACTTGTTACACCTAACCTTTGAACTTCAATTGAATTTCTTTTGAGTAAAATCAGGGTTTTGATGTTAGGACTAAAGTTGAATGTGGTTTATACTTAGTATGATGTGTGACATAATTTCTTGCTAGGCCAATTGCTGTTTTCTATATACACTGACTTTTGTTTCTCCCATTTTCAAGATGTGGACCTGAAGCCTGGTCTGAGCGGAAGGAAGAACCACACTTTTATGGACAGAGCTGTGTGAAAGAAGATGGGGAGGTGTGAGTATAGTTTCTTTATTAACACGAGACAACACTCCACATGCCTTCAGGCGCACACACTTACACTCGCATGTCTCTCTTTTGCCCAGTTCACTCTACTCTGAGGGTCTGCATGCCTTTTGTCCGTGTGGTCCGGACTGAGCGGAAGGAAGAACCAAACATTTAATTGCAGAGCTGTGTGAAAGAAGATGGGGAGGTGTCTACATTGAATTTGATGGCGGTGGCAGCAGAAGTCAATTGAGTGATTAGGTGAGACAATCAGGTGATTATTGGTGTTCCTATACCGCCTCCATGCACCAAACATGATCATTGTAAACCTGCAATTCTCTTAGTGTCGCTGACGAAAGGTAGTAGTCTGACCGTTTCAGGTAGCACCAAAATCATATCGAGTTGCTTAAGAGTTAAGTACTGTTTTTTTGGTGTGTCTTTTATTAGTACATGTTGTGTGGAAGGATGATATGTGGGTGTGATTACTAGTACATTTACAGGTAAGGTATGATTTTAGTTGTAGTAGCTTGTAGTGGGAGACAGCGGTAAAAGACCCGTGAAGATACCAGTAAATGATAAATTTTTTTGTGGAGAAGGATCTATAAAGTCTGAAATTAAAAGAGTGATAGATGAAACTTAAAAGAATTCCAGTAATGCTATAGATTTACAAAGCTATATGATGTAAAAAAGACATTAATGGTTTGAGAAGGTTGTAGTATGGAGGCTTGTGTATTTGCAGAAAGTATTTTCATATTGCAGAACAAAATTTTGACTCTTCTGCAATGTTGCAGAGCACTGAAAAAAAGTATTTCGATCACTGATTTGAGTCAAATACCACACCATAGTGTGCGGGACTGGTAGAAAGTAATAAATCAGCTTTTGCAGACAGGATTTTGCATTAAAAAGCCCCATAAGTGAAGTTGTCCTTTAAATGCTAAACACCTTTATTCACATCGTCCCTCTTCACTAAACAGACTTTATTTCACCACATTGGAAATACCAAATTGCTCAAAAATCATTGCTTTTGTTGTCACTCTAATTGTCCTGCAAAAAAATGCTAATAGCCGGTCACACTAATTCCTCTTTGTTATCCTCTTCGTATCGTATGAAAGCTAAATTTTCGCTTTCAGGACCTTTTCACTTAAATTCTCTTGTCGAATAAGTTAGTATCTTGCCAGGCTGAATTAATTCCACACTAATTCCTTTTTTTTTAGTCCATTTTCCCACCAAAAAAATGGGAATGATGGGGTCTAGTTTTGTTCCTGTGCTTCTGAGCTTTGATTCAAAGGCCAAAAGCTGTTTTCTATGCACTGACTTTTGTTTCTGTCTTAAAGATGATGTTGTGGATGATCCGGAGACCGGACCGTAGCAGGATGAAGGACCAGACTTTAGTCAGCAGATCTCATCCTGTGTAAAAGAAGAAGATGGGGAGGTGTGAGTATGTTTTCTTTATTAACACGAGACAACACTCCACATGCACACACTTGCACTCGCATTTCTCTTTTTTTCGTGAGGAGCCATTTAACTGTTAATTGTAGCCAAATTGTCCCTTTTGACTTTTGTACTTAAATTCTCGCCAAAAATTTAAGTTTGAATCTCAGCTGGCCGCATCAATTCAAATTTCCATTTTGTTACCCTCTTCGTATTGTATGAATGCCAAATTGCCGCTTTAGAATTTGTTCACACTTCAACTATCCCGCAAAAATCTGCCAAATTGCGACCAAACTTGTCACTTTACACCTTCTTCACACTTCAATTCTCCAGCAAAAAAACTGCCAAATTGCCCCCCAAAGTTGTCGTTTGAGACCTTTCTACACACTTTAATTCTCCCGCCAAAAAAAAATGCCAAATTGCCATCCTCACCTGGTTAATTAATTGGATTAAGTTTTCCCGCCAAAAAACTTAGTATATGGCTCACTCTAACCTTGAACTTGTGCCCCCCTCCCCACTCTT